CTAAGTCTCTTTGTAAGTCTCTAAGGACTTGCTTGATGAATCTGGGTGCTCCTGTATTGGGTGCATATATATTTAGGATAGTTAGCTCTTCCTGTTGAATTGATCCCTTTACCATTATGTAATGGCCTTCTTTGTCTCTTTTGATCTTTGATGGTTTCAAGTCTGTTTTATCAGAGACTAGTATTGCAACCCCCGCTTTTTTTTGTTCTCCATTTGCTTGGTAAATCTTCCTCCATCCCTTTATTTTGAGCCTATGTATGTCTCTGCGTGTGAGATGGGTCTCCTGAATACAGCAGACTGATGGGTCTTGACTCTTTATCCAGTTTGCCAGTCTGTGTCTTTTAATTGGAGCATTTAGTCCATTTACATTTAAGGTTAAGATTGTTATGTGTGAACTTGATCCTGCCATTATGATATTAACTGGTTATTTTGCTCGTTAGTTGATGCAGTTTCTTCCTAGCCTGATGGTCTTTACATTTTGGCATGTTTTTGCAATGGCTGGTACCGGTGTTCCTTTCCATGTTTAGTGCTTCCTTCAGGTCTCTTGTAAGGCAGGCCTAGTGGTGACAAAATCTCTAAGCATTTGCTTGGTCTGTAAAGGATTTTATTTCTCCTTCACTTATGAAACTTAGTTTGGCTGGATATGAAATTCTGGGTTTAAAATTCTTTCTTTAAGAATGTTGAATATTGGCCCCCACTCTTTCTGGCTTGGAGAGTTTCCGCCGAGAGATCTGCTGTTAGTCTGATGGGCTTCCCTTTGTGGGTAACCCGACTTTCTCTCTGGCTGCCCTTAAGATTTTTTCCTTCATTTCAACTTTGGTGAATCTGGCAATTATGTGTCTTGGAGTTGCTCTTCTCGAGGAGTATCTTTGTGGCGTTCTCTGTATTTCCTGGATTTGAATGTTGGCCTGCCCTACTAGGTTGGGGAAGTTCTCCTGGATGATATCCTGAGAGTGTTTTCCAACTTGGTTCCATTTTCCCCCTCACTTTCAGGCACCCCAATCAGACGTAGATTTGGTCTTTTACATAATCCATACTTCTTGCAGGCTTTGTTATTTCTTTTTCTTCTTTTTTCTTTTGGTTTCTCTTCTCGCTTCATTTCATTCATTTGATCCTCAATCGCAGATACTCTTTCTTCCAGTTGATCGAGTCGGTTACTGAGCTTGTGCATTTGTCACGTATTTCTCGTGTCATGGTTTTCATCTCTTTCATTTCGTTTATGACCTTCTCTGCATTAATTACTCTAGCCATCAATTCTTCCACTTTTTTTTCAAGATTTTTAGTTTCTTTGCGCTGGGTACGTAATTCCTCCTTTGCTCTGAGAAATTTGATGGACTGAAGCCTTCTTCTCTCATCTCGTCAAAGTCATTCTCCGTCCAGCTTTGATCCGTTGCTGGCGATGAGCTGCGCTCCTTTGCCGGGGGAGATGCGCTCTTATTTTTTGAATTTCCAGCTTTTCTGCCCTGCTTTTTCCCCATCTTTGTGGTTTTATCAGCCTCTGGTCTTTGATGATGGTGATGTACTGATGGGGTTTTGGTGTAGGTGTCCTTCCTGTTTGATAGTTTTCCTTCTAACAGTCAGGACCCTCAGCTGTAGGTCTGTTGGAGATTGCTTGAGGTCCACTCCAGACCCTGTTTGCCTGGGTTTCAGCAGCAGAGGCTGCAGAAGATAGAATATTTCTGAACAGCGAGTGTACTTGTCTGATTCTTGCTTTGGAAGCTTCCTCTCAGGGGTGTCCTCCACCCTGTGAGGTGTGGGGTGTCAGACTGCCCCTAGTGGGGGATGTCTCCCAGTTAGGCTGCTCAGGGGTCAGGGACCCACTTGAGCAGGGAGTCTGTCCCTTCTCAGATCTCAGCCTCTGTGTTGGGAGATCCACTGCTCTCTTCAAAGCTGTCAGACAGTCGTTTGCGTCTGCAGAGTTTTCTGCTGTGTTTGTTATTGTTTACTGTGCCCTGTCCCCAGAGGTGGAGTCTACAGAGACAGGCAGGTTTCCTTGAGCTGCTGTGAGCTCCACCCAGTTCGAGCTTCCCAGCAGCTTTGTTTACCTACTTAAGCCTCAGCAATGGCGGGTGCCCCTCCCCCAGCCTCGCTGCTGCCTTGCCGGTAGATCACAGACTGCTGTGCTAGCAATGAGGGAAGCTCCGTGGGTGTGGGACCCTCCCGGCCAGGTGTGGGATATGATCTCCTGGTGTGCCTGTTTGCTTAAAGCGCAGTATTGGGGTGGGAGTTACCTGATTTTCCAGGTGTTGTGTGTCTCAGTTCCCCTGGCTAGGAAAAGGGATTCCCTTCCCCCCTTGCGCTTCCCAGGTGAGGCAATGCCTCGCCCTGCTTCAGCTCTCGCTGGTCGGGCTGCAGCAGCTGACCAGCACCGATCGTCCGGCACTCCCCAGTGAGATGAACCCAGTACCTCAGTTGAAAATGCAGAAATCACCGGTTTTCTGTGTCGCTCACGCTGGGAGTTGGAGACTGGAGCTGTTCCTATTCAGCCATCTTGCTCCGGGGGCCCAGAATTCTTCTCTGTTCTTTTCATTGTTAATTTAGCTAATTGTCTATCACATTTGTTTATTTTTTCAAAAAACCGTTTTTTCTTTCATGGCTCTTTTGGTTTTGTTTTTTGATTTTTTTTTTATTGTTGTTGTTTGAATTTCACTTAGTTCTGCTGTGATCCTTGTTATTTCTTTTCTTCTTTTAGCTTTTGTTTTGTTCGTTTTTCCAGTTCCTTGAGGATGACATTAGGTTGTCAATATGTGTTCTTTCAGACTTTCTGATGTAGGCATTTAGCACTATAAACCTCCCTCTTGGCAGTGCTTTTGCTGTATGCCAAAGGTTCTGATGCCTATGGTGGTGGACAAGGTGGGAAAGACTTCCTCTTCTTAAGACCCTTCATATGCACCAGGGCTTTCTAACTGTTGGGGTAGAGCTGAAGACTTTCCCTGCTCAACTCAGCACTTTAACTGTGCCACTGCTGAAAGCAGCTTTCCACCAGCAGAAAGACCTAGTGCTCAAGGCCTGCCACCCAGATTCTTTTGTCCCACATGGTGTTCCCTTCATGTGGTACACTTCTGCCTCCTCTAGACTACCGTGAGTGTTGTTGCTCCTCTGGGTCTAGCTACCCAGCGAAGCTACAACACTCCAGGCTGGTGCTGGGGAATGTTTGCAAGGGGTCCGGTGATATGACCTGTCTGAGGCAATATCTTTCGTGTATGTGGGATTTCTGGTGTTTTGAAATAGTTCTACAATGAACACTTGCTAGTTTTCTCATCAGAAATAAATTCTTTCAGTGTAGTGCAAGTAAGTTCTATGTTTTCAGGCATTTCCTCAGCCTCTGTCCACAGGCTAATCTAAAAATGTGAAGGATGTTTGTATTGGCAGATTGAGATGTGAATTGTGCATACAAAGGTAGGAAAAGGTGGAAATAATGTTAATCCAAATGCCTTTGTGGAAAAGAAATAAGTTGTGGCATGAGACATGCCTTCAAAGTTAATTAGGTAATGATTAGCCTAAAGAAGCAAAAGGTCAAAGTTGCATAGTTTTAGCGATAAATCGTAAAAGATTCATTAACAGAAAATGAACACAGGAAGTGCCAGAACTAACCATGAGTCCCTGGTTCTTGTAACTTAAAAGGTCACCTTCTGATCATTTTAACTAATATTCCTCCATCCAAAATTATGAGGAAGAAAATTGTGCTCTGCTCCAAAACACAGGTAAAAAACATAATGTCAGAGTGAAGAGGTTAAAAATTAACATTTTTCTAGTTGCATTTAGTGAAAATGTTTAATTTTCAAAATCAGTGAAACAAAGGTAGAATGCATAGGAATTTGAGACCAATTGGAAAGGAGAGTTCTGTCAAAGCCAACACTGAATCCTCTGGTTGACTGAAGAATGGTAGTGCCAATAACAAAAATTCATAATAGCATTTGAGAGACAGAGAGAGAGAAGTGCCACAAGGCAGAGATGGTTTCAAGAGAGGAAACGCTGACTTTAGTTTGGTTTGTGTTAAGAATGTCTGTCCATATGGAAATACACAAAAGGTGGCCAGGTTTAGTGGCTCACCCCTGTAATCCCAGTGAGGCAGGAGAATAGGGTTTGGAGACGAGGAATGTAAGGACTTTCTAGAACTAAATCACATGAAAACATTACAGCTATGACAGGAAATATCTTCTCCGTTTACATAGGGAATAGGCTGAATACATGACTTTGTAACTTTACTTCATCCTCTTCACTTACATAGGGCATACACCAAGTAACCAATGGAAACCTCTAGACAGTATTTAAACCCCCCAAAAAATCTGTAACAGGACCCTTGAGCCCCTATGCTCAGGCCCACTCCCGCACCGTGGAGTGTACTTTCATTTTCAATAAATTTCTGCTTTTGTTGCTTAATTCTTTCCTTGCTTTGTTTGTGCATTTTGTACAATTCTCTGTTCAAGACACCAAGAACCTGGACACCCTCCACTGGTTAACACCGCACTTTGGGAGACCGAAGCAGGCAGATCACTTGAAGCCAGAAGTTTAAGACCAGTCTGGTCAACATAGCAAAACTACCAAAAATACAAAAAATTAGCCAGGTATGATGGCATACACCTGTAGTCCCAGCTACTTGGGAGGCTGAGGCAGAAGAATCGTTTGAATCAGGGAGGCAGAAGTTGCAGTGAGTCGAGATTGCACCACTGCACTCCAGGCTGGGCGAAAGAGCCAGACTCTGTCTCAAAAAAGAAAGAAACATATAAAAGGTAGCTGAAAATTAGAACTTACAGGAGCTATTCAAGCAGGTGAGAACAAGTTGGATATCATGCACAGCAACCTGATCACTGAAGCAACGCCCTAAACTGCAGATTCATGAAAACTAATAGATCACAGATAGGGAGGGAGTAGCAGCAGAATTCAGAGAGCTTGCTGAGACAGAAGCAGGGGGAAAGAATTTTAGGGAATAGAATTTGAAAGAGGAAAAAAGAAAAAACACAAAATGAGAAAAAATATTTTGGAAAAGCAATACGTACCCACATAAGAGATATAGGACAAGTTTGTAGAAGAGCCGATCAAGATAGCTTTATTAGTCCCTGGAAAACCTCTGAAATCACAAAAAAAAAAGGAACAGAGAAATATATTTTTAAAATTGTGACATTATCCAAGACTGGATCTTGAGTGAAGAGCAGTAAAATATTAATGAGGTTACTTTATGTTTTAGAAAATACATAGACTTTGGAAGCAAATATACCTGTGTTTGAATATTGACCTGGAAGACTTTGAATCTTGAAACTCTTTGAGCTTCATAGTTCTTTCTGTGTAAATTAGAGAGGACTATACTTAGTTCACACAATTATTTTGAAAAGTTCAATGAATACAAACATAAAATTCAAGGCATGCCGCAGGACACATAGTTGTCATTCAATAAATATTACCTCCTTTCAAGGATATAGGTACTATTAACCATACATTACAGATAAAGAAACTATTTATAACATACAGTGCTTGTTCCCTTCAACTGATACTTACTGAGCCTCTACTATGTAACAAGGTATGGTTGAATTGCAAGGCAAATAGTCCTGCACAATCTTCTGGCAAAGAAAGGCAAATAATAAACAAAAAAGTAAATACAGATATCATATAAAGATGAGTGCAATTCAGAAAAAAAACTGCATGGTTTTATAAAGGTATCTGGGTGGCTAGCTTAGGTTAGGTTGTCAAAATGCTTCACCAGAGAGGTAGGAAGAAGGAATCAGGCAGCCTGTGAAGATTAAGTTGAGGGCTATTCCAGGAAAGGTCAACAGCCAGAGTAAAGGACTTAGGAAGAGTATGACGCAACTGGCACATCCAAGGAACCCAGGGAATGTTTAGTCTAGCTAAGGGTTTTCAGTGGATGAGGGGAAGAGAGGAACCAGGGAAGTCAGAGTGGCCAGATCACATAGGGCTTGGTAAGCCAGAGTAGCCTAAGTGTTAGTCCACATGAAATTGGGCAGCATTGGAGTACTGTAAACGGGCCACTAAAATAATCTGATTTGTGGTTTTCAAAGATCCCTCTGACTACTGGGTGAAGAATAGACAGCTAGGGGATAAAAGCCAAAAGAGGAGACACATCAGGAGGTTATTGTGTTCACGTTTAGAGGAGAAACAAGGACTACTTAAGCAAAAGAAGTAGAGCTACAGAGGAGGAGGGGAAGATATATCTTTGGGGTATGCTTAACAGAACCTGCCACCAGATTAGATGTGTGGGAAAGGTAAGTATCAAGGGTAACCCTTGGATTATTGTTGGGTACAAGTGACTGCTTGGGTGCCAATTAACAAGATCAAAAAGCAGAAAGTTGGGGGGCAAAGAGAGGACAAATGGGTGGAGAGAAGATGCTAGATACTCAATTGGATGAATATATCTTGAAAAGTTTTGAGGAGATTCAGAAACAGCAATTTAGAACAAATTTTAAACCACAGAATGGAATGAGAACTCTGAGGGAGAGTGTACAAAACTGGGAGAGAAGAAAACCCAGCATTCCCTCTGGGGCATGTCAACCTTTCAAGATCACACAAAAAAGGAATAGGAAACTGTGAAAGAGAAAAAGAATAGACAAGTAAAGCAGAAGGAAACCCAGAAAAGTGTAGAATCAGGCAAGCCAGGAGAGGAAGATGTTTCAACGAAGGGACCATTCTGTTCAGTGCTGAGATAATAAAGTATCTATAATAATTTGAAAGGTGAGTCCATTGAATTTGAAAGCATAGAAGTTATGAGTGACCTTCATAAGAAAAATCTTTGTGAAAGGATGAGAACTGGAGGCCAAATAAGATTTTGTGGCCGGGCACGGTGGCTCAAGCCTGTAATCCCAGCACTTTGGGAGGCCGAGACGGGTGGATCACGAGATCAGGAGATGGAGACCATCCTGGCTAACACGGTGAAACCCCGTCTCTACTAAAAAAATACAAAAACAAACTAGCCGGGTGAGGTGGGGGGTGCCTGTAGTCCCAGCTACTCGGGAGGCTGAGGCAGGAGAATGGCGTGAACCCGGGAGGCGGAGCTTGCAGTGAGCTGAGATCCGGCCACCACACTCCAGCCTGGGTGACAGAGCGAGACTCCGTCTCAAAAAAAAAAAAAAAAAAAAAAAAAAGACTTTGTATCATTTTCCTATACAGCAACATAGCCTAGGCATGCTCCATATATTAAATGTTAGCCAAGGAATGACTTAAAATACTGTATTTATTTTCTTTATACAATTATGTTTCAATGTTTTTCATGCATAATTTTGTTTAATCAAAAATGTTTATATTCTACTTTAAATCTTTTTCTTTTCCTTATGTTTTCTACCTTTCATTCAACATCAGCTCTCCTCCACCACAAGGTAGCCCACATTGCAACGCAGTAGTGATCTTCAATATCTTTTCTGTGCCTAGTCTCATTTATGTACATAGATGCATACCTTTATACAGATATATAAGGCTTAGATTTTTGTCCATATATTGTTTTACCTAAATGGAATCATACCATAAATACTTTCTGAGTCTTGCTTTCCACTCACCTATATCTCACAGAAACCCTGAGTCAATTAGCATAGCTTAAATCCACTCTTTTTTAACGGTTGGGTTATATTCTAGATGTGAGTTTGCTATAATTAAACATTCCTCTATAGACTAGCATTTACTTTGTTTTCAATCAAACATATGATGATTAGTGGTGCCAAAATACATCAAAACTTTATGAGTATTATAATTCTCTTTATTTGAATGTTTATGTCTTTACCACATTTCTATTTTAATTTAAAAAATACCTGTGAACATTTACACATAAATCTTTCACATATCTCTAATTCTTTTCTTAGGATAGATGCTTAGATATAAAGGCAAATGGCTTGGGCATAAAAAGTATTTGAAGAAATCTTGACAAATGATGCTAAATATCTTTCTAGGAAAGTAGAAATTTGTATTCTTACAGAAGATAAGAGTGTTAAGATCCCTGTTCCATGCCATCAGAACTCATCTGAGCATTATCTGAAGCAACTATGCCATCACTGAGGGAAGATGCCTCATAACTCTAACAGAGGTCTGACTTAAGTGCCAAGGCTGATCTAAACAAAGCAGTCAGGAACACACTGGCTAGGATTCTCCTGACCTCTTCTTTGTTGCCATAGTTACCTTTATCAATAAATGACCAAAGATGTAACCGAGGCATTGTTGTCATAGTTAACTGGATGGCAACAAACTGTTGTTGAATAAATTAGTGTCCCAATTAAGAGTCTTTCCTATTTTTCAGCACCTTTCCAATCTGTGACAGGCATTTCCTTTCAAAACACTGACAGAGTAAAATAATGTGAACTTCATTAGAAATGAGAATCCTTGGCGTCAGTTTAAAATCTTGACACCCAGGAGAATGAAAATTGTAATTTCTATTAATTATCCCATGAGGTTTTGCTAAAAAAGCGTCTGTTTTCTAGCCCTGCACCTTGTATCCTAACCAAAATATAATTGTCTATGATTAAAGCCTGGTTGTCTGCCTTTCTGAATCTTGGGCATCGGAAGTCAGTTTTCTGCTGCTAATCTCCTTTTGGGACAGCTCTCTAGAAGAACTCTAGAAAAGTTTGTATTGCAGAGTCTTGCATGGAGTTAACTGGCAGACATTAAGAACACAAGATAAACTCTGTTGAGTCAGGCACTTTTGACTTTCAGAAAATTTTTCAATCTTTCCCCTGAAAATTAGGAGCTCTGGAAGGTTTTCTTTCCTATGGAAAATAGTAAAATGCTTAAAAGAAACAGAACACATTTAACACAATTCCTTATTTGAATCAGATTTATTTAATAATCACAATCTAATTTTAGATAGTTTCTGTTTTCCAGAAAATGCAAGTTAGAGATCATTAGAGCAATTAGTACAAGATAAACTTTAGAATATTGCATTTGGCCAGACCAGATGTAAAATCATTAGGGAATAAACATAACCATGTTTCATAGAAGCCCAATATTCAGCCATTAGATGAGTTTTAGATCTGATGACATAATGACAGGCCTCATTTAAAAAGACTAATAACTTAGTGAAAACCATGTGTATTTCTACAACACTATTTGCATTTTACTAATTTAATCTCACCCATTAACTGAGGGTGCTGACATTTTAGCCAGTGTGAGCATGAGAAACAGATGACTCATGTATGATCTAAATGCACCACATCAAGATCACTAGTTGAGTTGTATTCAGAAGGGCTGAAATAATGTGTTATTGTCCAAAACACCATAGTCATATAAAAACAGGCAGTATAGCAGATACTTGAAAAAATATTTTTTGGATGAATAAGGGAAAATGTTAATATTTTACAGGCTATAAGTTGCTTTCATTCCCATTTCTTCAGCATCTGTTGTTACTAGGCAATGAACTAGTTTTTGAGATGCTAAGATAGATAAGATAGAGTATCTCTTTTTAGAAGCTAGCTTAATTCTAAACCCTGTAATCCAGGAATCATGAGTATTATTAAGCCATTTGTACAAGAGCTGAAAAGCAGTTAAATATGATCAAATGAACTGTCCAAGTCATGGAGTGCTAAGTGGGAACATTAGGTCCGATATTCAGGCTTTGAAACTCAGTCCAGTGTGCTTTATACTATCTTTCTCTAACCATCTTCCAAATTACTGTTTCTTTTTATGACAATATCATCAATGATCATATTTAAAATAAGACATTGAAAGATTCAAATGCATTCAATGCCTCAGTTATTTGCATTTTGGTATAATGACAGACTGTGATGAATAATTTTTTTAACAGTACAGACACATTTACTTTGCATCTCCCATTGCTTTTGGCACAGCTGTTAGTTGCTCAATAAACATATAGTAAACAAGATTATATAGACGGTTTATTGTAAGTGTCTTGTAAACGTGCCAGATGGCATATTTAAAAGAGCAAACTATCCCCATGATCCAATTACAATTGTACAATTACAATTACAATTAAGATTGACTTCCACCATAAAACTCAAATGTGTCCTTTTGTAATGCTGAGTACCATTCAAAACAAGTAGGTTATTATCATGTTCAAAATATATATAAAAATAACTGCATGACATTTTCAGTTTTGCTGTATGAATAAATTCTGGAGATCTAATGTACAGCATGGTTACTATACCTGTATTACATATTTGAAATTTGCTAAGAGATTAGATCTTAAATGTTCTCACCAAAAAAATGTAACTATATAAGGTGATAGATATGTTAATAAGCTTGATTGTGACAATCATTTCACAATGCATATATACAAAATATTTCACCTTAAATATATACAATTTTTATTTGTTAATTATCCCACAATAAAGCT